AAAGCGGCGTAGCAAAGGGCAGGGTCGGATTATGGGGACGTTGCTTTTGTGGGTGCCGCTGCTCTCTCCCTCCCTTCCTGCACCAGCTGCTGGGCTCTGCTGCATCTCTCCAGCCCGGCGTCCCCGTCCCTCCCCACTCTGCTGCAGCTGTGTGTCACCGAGCCCGGGCTCCGGTGCTGGTGCTCACCTTGATGCTTATTGGTTTGTATGTAGAGGTTGAGGAAGGGGAGAAAAAGGCAGGAGTCTGCAGTAGTGTGAGGGTTCGAGTTATTTTAGGCTTCCAGTAGGGCTAACTGTATGAGGGGCCGTTGTGCAGCTTCTGTTCCCATTCCTTATACTTTAAATGTGTACTTTTGTCCCTAGACATAGGTTTTCATTCCTGATCTGAAGGAATTGGAATTTTCTGCTAGTTTTAAAAAATAAGGGGCTGCTTTCAAGTGCTCATTGTATATCCTGTAGATTTTCAGTCCCTATCTTTTCACCATGGTCTCTGTTGTATCCCCAGTCCTCACAGAAATCCTTCTTCCCTCTCTCTCAGACCTCTTATCCAAGAAGAATTCTTCTTTGGAACAGTTGTAGTAATATCAATAGTTTTCAGCTGGGGAAAATGCACAAGCCCTTGTAGCTTACTACTCAGTTCATTAATAGGTACAAGCTTATCCCTATTTTACAGGTTAGTTGAGGGATATGAGAGAACTAGTAACTTCTGTGAAGTGTTGCAGCGATTTCGTGACTGGACTGGCACTTGTACATGGGAGAAATGAGTCCTGGTTTTGTGCTGTAACTGCTGGGGTTACTGTCTTTGGGAGATGGACTAGTGTTCGCAGCGCTGTTCTGGGCTGTGTCTCCCGTTTATCAATCCCTTCATGTCCTGTTTCTGTGCCTGCATGGTGTGTCTCTCTCCCTGTGCAGTGTGCTGTTCTTACTGTGCTGTCTGCGAGGGGGTTCAGGGATCTTCAGGAGGCTTGAGTACCATGGAGAGTCAGTTCATTTGCTCATCAGACAGCATGCACTCTTCATCAGATTCTCATGTGTTGTTTCCCTCCTCTGTATGTCTTCTGCTCTGTCCTTAATCTGGTCCACTCTGGGGACAGGGATTGCTGCTAATGTATTCCCATTTTCAGTTTCATAGTACCTACCCTCTTTATTTTTGTTCCAGGGGAGCCTTCTCTGTGGTCCGCAGATGTGTAAAGAAAAATTCTTCACAGGAATATGCTGCAAAAATCATCAACACCAAAAAACTGTCAGCCAGAGGTTAGTGTCTTGATCTACCCTTCTTCCCTCTATTAATAGAAAATACTTCATTGGACTTGAGGCTGTAATAAGTTTAAGTGATCTGTAGTTGCTTGTTTCAGTCATTTTTTAAGCATTACAAAATAACTGAGTTGTGTGGCAAAGAAGAGACTGAACGGGGGTAGTGTAGCATGATAGAAAAATTCCTCTGTCTGGAAGTGGATACTTTGTAAATTGATGTTGTCTTTTTTCTTCTTGAGATCTTTCTTCAAGCTGAGCTAGAGGTAGATTTACCTCTGTATGTGTGTGTACGGATCACTCATAATAAAGAGAAGTGTTGCAGACTGATTTTGCTGAATGTCTTTTTTTACCTAGGAGATCTGTCTCTACCAGAACAGATGTGATTATTTTTTTTTGAAGGATAGATGCTATATGCCTGGCTCCTTTCATGCTGTAGTTAAAGGTGTTGTGTTTGGAAACTATCAAGTCTGCCGTCAAAGGTGGAGAAATCTTGTGAATTTGATTCTCAACATATTGTGACGAGTTTGGGGTGGTTGGTTACTTTTGTGCTTTTGTTAGTCCTGGAAATTTACAAAACCTGAAATCAGACTGTAGTCGTATGAAAAGAGAAAAAAAATCTTAACTCTTCTCCCAAGCTCTTGGTCTTCTGTTTTCCAGAGACATATGTATGCACAAAGGATAGTATGAAGGGAATATGTATCTTCTAGCTTGGAGGGAGTCACTACAGGGATTAAAGTTGCCTTGAGGGTGGGATGGATGAGGGGGAGAACGAGAGAAACTGAATTGCAGTAAAAGATGCTGTGAAAGCAGGGAGTGCAACAAGTTGAGATGCCAGAGGCTACTATTTCTAGAAGAGGTGAACAAGAGAAGTTGTAAGTCTTTAGGAGCCTTTCAGGTTTGACAAAATTAATGTTGTGACTATCCTGCTAGTTGAATAGTGGGTTTAGTAGGGGGATTGACTGAGAAGTGAACAAAAAAAAACCAGCAAGAGGAAGAAGCAAATGATAAATGATTGAGAAGTGTTTTGCCTAATCCCTATAAAAAAGAAAAATAGACTATTCTCCTTTTTGCCAGAATATGAAATGCAGTAAGAGCAGAAGACAGCTTGAAGAGTAGAGAAAAACTTCCATTTGGTGTAGTTTGCATGGAGAAGTAGTGTCAATTGTAGAATGCTATGAAGAATTATATTTTGAATTCATTTTTTGAATTAATTTTTTTTTTTGCTTTGGGAAGTAAGCACATGTGCTAATGTGCTGTTTCGGTATTTAGCCTGAGTGAGGTCATGTTGGGGCCCAACCATAGATTGTTAAGGAGGTGGCTGCAGATCTTGTGAGAATTAGTGTCCCCTCCATGGTCACATGACAGTGCCTCCTGGTGTAGGTGGGGTATCCAATCTCTTGAGTTCAAAATTAGTTCAACTTAATATGGGAGAGGTTCGAAGAGTCGCTTGGTTTTGCTGACAGCCATTAATGCCGTGTCCGCTCCTCAGACTTCCTTGTCTATCCTGTAGTCAGGACTAAAGCTCGGGAGAGCCATCTTCTCTGATGCTAGATAGTGGGTGCAAGTCTGCTTAGAGAAGGGAGAGAGCAGCTTGATAAAGAAAAAAACATTTTCTTATAAAGGAGATGGTATTGAGGTTAACTCTGGAGATAAGAAAAATAGGGAAAAATGCAGGGTGAATATAGCTGAAACAAAATTCAGAAATGTAGTAGCTGAAGACCAAAACTCATAGAACTGATTCGGTCAGTTTTTAAATGTTTGGTCATCCAATGAGTTATAGAGGGAGCAATATATAGATTCTAATTGTTCTTCATATTAAGGTGATGACAGTTTAATGACCCAGCAAGTAGAAAAAGTAAGTGTGGGTGAATACAGGCCTTGTTTTGATCTATACTTACTATCTAGATTTCATATCTTCCTATAAATAAAATACATTGAGGCTGCTAGCCTGGTCCTCAGCTACTTAACTCGAGGCAGCTGGCAATGATATGCTTAAAAAGGTATTGGCTAGGTAGAGGGTAGATTGGGGGAGAACCAAGAAAGAAAATGGGTGTTTCTTCTAGTACAGAAGAATATCAGGTTGCATTGGAGTTATAACTGAGGGCTAAAGAATCTGCACTTACAGTGAAAAGTGGATGGTGACTTCAACTGAATATATAGATTCCTCAGTTATTCCAGCTGCGTTTACTGATAGCTCAAGGGGTAAGTACAAAGAGGGACTGAATATTTTGACGGGAACTTAGTGAATTCACCTTGGAATAGGTCTTTAAATCACTGAAAGAAAAATGTGTGCTATTTAGACATTGCAACTGTAAATCAGTGATTAGGGAGATTCGATTCAGCAACCTGAAAATGAAAGTCTCGGGAAAAGGCATTTTGGAAAGCTGACTGGAGAATTATGATGCTAATTCTGCATATCGTGGATATGTGTTGCCCGATGTGTCCGTTCCCCAAGCTGGTACTTCTTGGTGTGTCCATGTTTCTGCCCATCAATACCTGCATACAGGGCTCTCTGTGTGCCCAACTGCATGTCTGTTGTGCAGGTTAACCCACCCTCCTGACCTGACTTGCACGTTGTTGGTTTTCTTCTACACCTGGTCATAGCACCAGAATATTTTCTCCTATGGGGACACCCTACCCCTCTCCAACTTAAGCATAGCTACATTTAACATTTTTTACTTTCTCTAGCAGAATTTGAGCCTGTATGGATACCTAATGTAGTAATGGCTACTTCAAGAGCCAGCATCTTGCTGCTGCTGTGAAGTATGTATAGCCCATTGCTGCTTCACAGAAGTCTTGACTGATGTAGTGCTTTATGTACAAGAAAATGGTAACAGAGCCTTGCTCTCCTGCAGTACTTTGTTACTTTTGTTTTTCAAGACTCTCGATGAAGAAATGCTAGATAGTTACTGGGGAGTGCTGAAAAGCTTGCCGTGTGTAGCTGAAAAGGAGGAAGATGAGTGCTTTGGGGTGACTTGTATGTAGTTAAAGGTTAAAGACTTGAGGAGGTATGATGCTTTAGAAGGCTTTTCTGTGGAAGCAAGGAGGATGAATGTCGTGGTGGTCTTTGTGAAGGGCAATCCTAACAACTTCGGTCGAGTAAACTTCACCCTTCGTAAAATACAGTCAGATGTTGAGAATCTGTTTCTCAGTTGTCTATGATTTTTGGATGTCCTCTCTCTTTTTTAATAAATTTTGTCAGTAAGAGCTGGTCTAGATTAAAATTCATATTTTGGCTTAATGAAGTATTTGCTATTATTCATATTGTGATGTTGGTTAGACTGCCCAGGGAAGAGCATGCCAAGAAGTTTAAATAGGGGCCAAATGCTTGTGGAAAGGGAGAGGAAACAGACTTCACCTTAGTCAGCATTCAGCTGACATGTAAGAGCAGTGGTTATTACACATGGGGGAAATACAATGCTTCAGTCATCTGAAATTCCTATGGGATTGAATGCACAGGTTTTTACGAGAGCCACAGGTAGAGGGAAGTAATAACTGTAATTTTTTGAAAGTTGTCTTGTGGGTTTTACCAGAATACTTTTTTAACATGAAAATTCATAGCAAGTAGTGCTTCAGTTCCTAGGCAGCAGTGAAGTTCAAATGAAGTAAAATGACTTTGCAGTGATCAAAAGAATCAAGAGAGAGCAGTAGATTTAGCAGCAGTAGGGAAATATCCCTGATGACTCCCCAGCATATACTTCAAGAGAGAGTCCAGCACTAGAAAGAGGCAGGCAGAACTTTTACCATTTGATAATTTTTAGGATGTTGTTTATACCAAATCATATACAGTGATCCTGTCACCATGTGTAGTATTTCTGGCCCTTTTTTTACATGCAGGGGGAGAAGTCTCTGTGCTTTACATCTATTGTTAAATTTAATTTGCTGCTGAAAATCTGTGTATTTCAGCTCTCGCAAGTGACATCTCTCGAAAAAATGAAAAGCAGTTGTCTTGGAAGTTAGGCCACTTTGCTGTGTTCTCCTTACTGTGGCTTTGCTCTTGCCTTTGAAATCAAGAGGTGGCTTCTTTCCCTGTTTTTCATCCTTCCAAATTTGTAAACCAGCTAAAATTTGCAGTCTACCCAGTTATTTTGTTGTTGTTCCTGTAGGAGATTATGTGGATTGTGGGAGGAGCAGGGAATTACTTCTGTGTGTTAAACCCCAACAGGAAAAAAACAATCTTTATGCTTCCAACTCTGCTTTTTTTTCACACATGTCTGTTGTCCTGGCTTTTGGTTCCATAGTGGTTGTTGATTTGGGCTTTACAATATGTTTTGTTGAAGGTGTCAACAGTAGTTTCCCTGGGCACTAAAATGTTGAGCTTGAATGGTGCAGCCACCAGTGCCTAACATCTATCTGGATCTGCTCTGTGCGTGTTCTTAGCTGTTGTTTGAATTAGGACCCTCTTGGACTGTTCTTGTGGCCACCACGTTTCAAGTCCCCCGTGGGGTAGTGCACACGTGCTGGAATTGGCTGCGCGCAGCGGTGGTGCAGTGCAGCGGGCGATCTGCTCTGTGCGAGAGCAGGGAAGCCCAGCACCACCCTGGTCACAGACGGCTGAAGTGCAAATCCAAACTTGCCTAGAAATGTCCTGTAGTAGGTGTCCTTTGTGTGTGTGCCTGTCTTTGCAGGTTGAGGACAAATGTCCTGTCTTGCTGGATATGGCAAATCAAAACGTGTCTGCTCAGCTGTACTTGCTGAGCAGCCAAATCGGGTCCAGTCATTTGGTGTGAGAGAGGAGCTGCCCTTCCTGCAGTGTGGGCCTTGGGCTCAGTGAAGAGCTTACCTGTGTCCCAGCTCCACCCCTGTCTTCCCTCTGCTGCCTTTGAGGAGTCTGAGAGATGCTGTGATTAGGGAGCATATATAGGAGATCAGCTGCAGTGGGATGTGGATTTTTTTGTAGTCTTTGCACACGTGGAGGGGCATAGGGAGCAGAGAGTGCCCCATGCCCCCAGAGCAGTGTGTGAGGCTGGGGGCTGCCTGGTGGGGCAGCTGTAAGGGGC